ATTGAGGGAAAATGCCATATACTATGAGACTGAGATACTGAATGCTATAAGAGAGAGGAATATTGAAGACCATAATCTTGAGAGAATGTTTATCATTCTGCAGTATTCACAATATACTTCACAAACTATGTATAATTAATAAAAAATTAAAAGAAAACATCAATTATTTTGTTGACTGATAGATGATCGATAATCACTTAGCTGAACAGCACTAATTCCTTGGCGACAGGGAGTATACAATGTATATACAGTAGTGATCAATTTGATGGCAAGCAATTACATTCCAATTGATAAGAGACACATGTTGCAGGGATCTCACCAGCTCAAAGGGAGTGCTTGTCATTCATGAATATTAATGTCACACATGCAAATACTTTTTTTTTAGGTATGAAAACAATACTTTCACATTAAGATTATTGCTATTGAAGGAGTTAAAAATTTTATTTATTTATTTTTTTTGAATAAATGTAGCAGATTTATCCTTGAATTTGTCTGCATGATAATAAGCAAGTGAGACAGGATATCCCAGCAGTACTTCCTAGAGTAGATTCAAACAAATTACATAAAGAATTTAAAATAGCTGGAATTTAAACATTTTAAAAATGCAAATGCTGCAGACTAAACACCACTACAAATGTATTATTGTTGCAATGTCTATTTGAAAAAGTCAAATTTGAAATGTACGTTGCAGCCGGGAATGTGTTTATGAGTTACATGATCATATTTACAACAAAAACTCTGTCCTTCATAATACTATGTAATAATTTGGTGGATTGTTGTAATTTATTATTTGTACCATAAACTTCTAAAATATTTACATTTAATGAATGAATATAAAAATCTTAAAAGTTGCATGTATAATGTGACAACTTATTTCCCAAATTATATAATGATTGTACCATTAATGCCCCTTAGTCATTATGCCATGCAAAAAACGATGTGTCTTTCACTTGATCGCTTCGGTAAAAAACACAGACCCACCATGATTTTGTGGCAAGTTTGTCAAAAAATTCTTGATTGACAAAACTACATGTAAGACCAACTGGACTGTCTCTTTTTTATTGGATACTGTAAAACCATTTAATTTCACTGATATTTAACTTCACTATTTTGATATGTGAGCATTTTCACTATGTTTTAATTTCATGGATTTGTCCAGCAAATAATGAGTTTTATTGCTATTTTACATGCTCACATAGATATAATTTAACGGATTTTACTTATCAGCGAAAATAGCAAAATTAAAACTCAGTGAACAATTAATGCATTTATAGTATAATGCACTTGTATCACTAATTAAATGTCTTCACTACTATTACTAAGCTCAGCTGTCAATATTGTAGTCATTTAAAGAGTTGGATTGTTAAAGGGCAGTGGTCGTTGTGTGGATAAACATTATAAACATTGATTTTCCCATAATCCAATGTGCTCTTCTAATAAAATCATGAGTTTTGACCTAGGCATGATTGCACTAATTACCACCGGCGACTCTTTCGATATCTTTCAATTAGCAAACAAATTACCTAATTAAAGCTGTTAACCTCTTAGTTTGAAGTTGTCTGCACAACGGTCAAAGGCACCATCTTTGTTTATACATGTACAGTGTATAAGACCCATATCTCACGCATGCATGGCACAAATACCACCCTTTAAGGTAGATCAAGGGCATTCAACAGAGGGACAATTTCTTATTTTTTTATAATTATTGGATATTAAAACATGTCATCAGCTTTTTATGTTTGATTTTCCAGGATGAAATATTTGTTTAGAGAAAAATGACAAAATAGATATTTTTGGGAGAAATTCCATACAAAACCATGTAAAAGTCTTATTTCATAAAAATGAATGAAATGAAAATCCTAATAATTCTTGACAACAATAAGTACATATACATATCTTATAACTACATATAAAAATTGTACATGTATGATTTTTTTCACAACCTAGAAACATTTTGAGATATAGTGTAAACTTTTTACCATAGGAATCAATAGTAAACCTGTCTTTTGGTGAAAAGTATAGTTTCATGACTACATGTTGTTTATTTTTTACTAAATCTACCTTTATCTTGGTTTTATGAACAACAGTGCAAAATATAAATTTAAGGGAAATAAACATCACGGATTTCTGATATTTGTTTCAATTGTAGCTAACTACATTAAGGTACATTGTGTAGAGACGCAGGTTATTTTGCACATTTTGACAAATTTCACTTTTTTTATTTGTTATGACATTGTATGAACATCTATATTCTGTGACAATTTGAAATAAAATCATTAGTAGAACTCTGTTAAATCCAATGGCGATGTAAATCAGCATATATTTTTACTTATTAAAGGGGAAGCTCAATCCCATGGATTGCACCAAAGAATCATGGGACACTATTGTTTATGTTGTTTACAATGTTATTAATCTATCTTTTGTTTTGTTATTTTAATCCAGAACGTAAATTTGTTGTGAGATTAGGCATAACTGGAAGGTGCCCCTTTAACTATAAAATATGCAAATTAGCAATTATTTTAGTGCACATCCCAGAACTTTAAAAAAAAATAGCTCTTAGATGCTTTGACCTTTTCTTTTGAAATTTTCACAAATGATTGACAATGTGTTAAACTTTAAAATGCCATCGGGGCATTGTTTTTCATTGAACAGTGTTACAACAATCGTACAGACAACTAGCCTAGGTGTTAATTAGTGAAATTTGAGCTGCTGCCCAGCAAAATTGACAACTGGTAGACAGTTTTCAAGATGGCACTTTCTTCATAGTAAACAGATGTACCCGTAAACCAATTTTGACAGGAAACAGAGGCATGGTTTAGAAGCTAATTTTTTTTAAATCACTTTTGACCAAAAAAAACACATTTTTGTGCATATTTTAAACTACAGTGTCCATAAAATATACTTACAAACATTTTAAAATTTATACAATAAGCTTTCCAAAAATAAATAGTTTTGTGGACAAGGGAGGTCATCTTGGTTTCCTAATTAACTAATTAAAATACTTGTCAGGTAAACTGCATCTCTACCTTAAATGGACTTATAAAATGATTGCTGCATCTCAATCAAAGAATTGAAAAAAATGATAATCAAAAAGACAAATAAGACGTAAATGGCGAAAAGAAA